ACGTTCGTATCCTTAAGGTTATCGAGAACAGAATCATTGTCTGCCGATTCAACATTGATGTTTTTGAAGAAATTGAATAATAGTTCACTGTCAGGTAAATGTTCATCTTCAGCCTGTTTTTGCTTTAATATACACATGCAACATTTAACAAAAGTTAAGCGCCACCATATTCATAGTCTCTTGATTTCACGTGTGGGAATCAGAAATACGAAATATGATGATGTATGACTGAATTAGGCCTCCATAGTTTCATGAACCCAAATTTGTCCAGATACCGCAAGGAAAGCGTGCTTTACGTGTTGCTGCAGTTCCCCTACCCTATAAATAGTGAAATCTAAGTTTTAGACACGTGATTGCATTTTGCTCCTGTGTGAGATTCCCCTTCCAAAAGAGGTTGAAAATCAGCCATGGTGAGGAGAAAGTTAACGAACGCTGAAAGATGGCAAGTGATAGGCATGAAAAATGCTGGCATGTCATGCAGGGCCATTGCAAGACAAATGGGTCGTCATCATAGTGTTATCACTCGTTTGATTGTCAAACATCGTCAAACCAATGATGTCAATGACAGGCATAGGTCTGGTAGGCCATGAAAGACCTTTAACGGAGAGGATAGACGTCTTTTCAGGATAGTCAGACGAAATCCATTTGCCACTTCAACATATTTAAGACTGCAGTGGATTACCCATCAGAGACTCTCGACGATGACCGTAAGGCGTCGCCTCAGAGCGGCTGGTTATAACGCCAGAAGACCAGTAAAACGTCCTCAACTGACTGAGAGGCACATGCGGAATCGTCTGATATGGTGTCGTGCCCGTAGTCGATGGAACTTGGCCAACTGGAGAAGGATCCATTGGTCTGACGAGTGTCGAATGCTGCTACGAACTGCTGATGGTCGAATACGTGTTTGGAGGCAACGTAACACTCGTTTTGCACCAAGGAACATCCAGAAGGCCTTAGCATGTGGCGGGGGGTCTGTCATGATATGGGGTTGTGTTTCCTTCGGCTGCAAACTTCCGATGGTGACAATTCGTGGAAACCTGAATGGCCACCAATACCAAGATGCCGTTCTTCGTCCAGTGGTAGTCCCTCATTTTGACAACCATCCTCTCACGCAAGACCTGTTTACATGGACGACAATGCTAGACAACATAGAACTCGGTCAGTTTTGGCTTATTTGCGTCAAGAAGCTATTACCACTCTTCCTTGGCCGGCCTGTAGTCCGGATCTTAATCCGATTGAGCATCTATGGGACATTCTTGACCGGAAAATCAGACATCGTGATCCCCCAGTTCAAAATCTCGCTGGACTTGAAGCCGCACTTCATGAAGAATTGATCCGTTTACCTCAGAGAAGCATTTAACGACTTGTAATGAGTATGAGGCGTAGGGTTGAAGCTGTGGTCAATGTCCGTGGATCATACACACGTTACTGACGTTTCTGTCTTGCAATATACTCTGCACTCCCTATTGTCTGCTGATATCATGACAGTTACATGACAAAAAAAAGGTTTTCAATGTTTTCTTATCCTTCAATTTCTGGTCTTCTGTAAAATTCCTTTCTGCTCATATTCTTTTGGAACACAAGATAAACCTGCTTTGGGACAACCTTTGCATTACATGAGGTTTACATATACGGCTTATAACAATCGTACATCTCGTTATAATAGTCATCATTAAGTGCCAAAAGTAACAGCTCACAAATATGGTGGGTGGCGCTTAATTTTTGTGCATGTGTATATGATCAAAATGATCGGAGATCTGTTGTTTCAACATTTTCTTGTATACGGTTTTTAATATTTTATAAGACAGTTTTAAAAGCATTTACTTGCGTTCATCAATCGTTTTTTTCTGGGAAGTTTGATGAACAGCGTGGCGTCGTACCCCAACGACTGGATCATTGATCATGACAATGATAACGGGATTGTCTTGTCCAGACTCGATTGTTTACTAGCTGCCGTTGTATTGTAGGAGTGTTGCTGGGTGTGTGAGGCAACACACAGACGCATACAGTGGCGGGTGCTGCATGATGTCCTCAATGATTTTTAAGTAATCCAATCACACAAATTTCCATCACTCTTTTGCCTTTTACGCCCAGGGGAATCCATTTCGACTGATTATTTACTGGCGTTGACATTTTGAATTCAATACTTCTAATGTTACGGCTGTACGTGTCTACATATCGGAACAAATGTTACGACTGAAAGTGTCTACATATTGGGAGGAAGGTTAATGTCACACTCAGCTAACTACAACATGTCGAGAATCTTTAGTGCCGTGAAACGGCTCGCCATGAACCACACTAAGGCTGTGGAAATGGTGGAGGCTTTTCTGTGAAGGACAGAATCACAAAGCACAAAAGTGCCAGAACTAATAAAAAGTGTTTCGCCACAAGAGCATTGACGTTATGCTGAGGTTAAAGTGTTAAAGGCACTATATCTGTTTGTTTTTTAGTTCTAAAATAAAATTAAAGTATCTCCTTGAATGATTTTTTTCTTTCTGAGGAGGCCGCTAGTGTTGAAACACGTTCGTAAATTTATGTACCGAGACCTACAAACTACGCATCGATATGTCTTAACACCATATTTCCTTTCCTAGAATTAGATGACATTGATGCAATTAAGATTGCTCATATTGATTATAAGACAAGAACTTGTGAACAGAAAAAATGAGAATTTATACTTGGTTACTCCGAATAAGTGGGAAGTTGACATCGACAGCTGTGTTTTCTGCAGTTGTCATTTTCATTTTGTGGACTTCAAATTTGGACATGGATGTCAAATTGCAGTCCGAAATATTGGTTTGGCAGCTATATGATGATTGCCTGCTGGGAATTTACAACACGCTTGTTTCCATCGAAAACTAAACGATACCATACAGGTTCTAAAAGATTGAGTGTAGAGGAAAAATATCGCGGCTGTAATTGATAGGATGTTATTGTGTAAGGTTTTTATGTTTTCTACTTGAAATGTGCATTCACCAAGTAACTAACCTGACCATGTTTTTCAATATTAATCACGATGACGTGTGCTGAATGTGACCACATATTTTCAAACAGATGATATTTGGTGCGGAACTGGGGTTGATGGTAGCTTCCTGCACTCGGAACAGGCGCTGACTTTTGGTGTTTTTATTGAAGCTTTAAGGCCAGACTGTACATATAAGTACATGTTTGTTTGTTTGTTGTTTAACGCCGCACTCAGCAATATTCCAGCTATATGGCGGCGGTTTGAAAAATAATCGAGTCTGGACAAGACAATCCAGTGATTGATATCATGAGCATCGATCAACGCAATTGGGATCGATGACATGTATCAACCAAGTCAGCGAGTCTGACCACCCGATCCCGTTAGTCGCCTTTTACGACAAGCATAGTCGCCTTTTGCGGCAAGTATGGGTTGCTGAAGATCTATTCTACCCCGGCATCTTCACGGGTCATATAAGTATATGCAGTTACTATAGAAGTCTTTGGGAAACATTTGGTTTTGTGTTGCCCTAGCGCACACTCTGAGTATAAATATCCCACACGGTGGCAGTGTGAAACTACTTAACTAAACACAACCTCCTATCTTACATAAAAAATTTAGACGAAATAAGGTCAGTCGTACATAAATCTACAGGCCAAGAGAAGTCATGTGGGGTTTGCCGTTTTAAGTAATGGATACACAGCAGCCTTATATAACAGTTTCCACAATCGTGACAATAACTTTATATAAACCCGACAGTTATATAAGGACATTGTACTGAAATCAATATCGCATCCATATTTGTATCATCTCTGATCGGTGTACGGTACACTCCGCGGGGATTCCGGGCTAGATAGAATATGTATTAGCCTGTCGTACGAGGCGAATTAATGGATCGGTTAATCAGACTCTCTGACTTGGTTGATTGCGTGGTGTACAATATTCAATGTACATGACGGAGGCCTGTAGACATCAAGTAATTGATATTATGAGAACGATGCACGTCGGGGTACGTACGGTGACATGCTATCAACCACGTCATCGAGCCCGACCACACGATCCATTAAGTCGCCTCTTACTGTGGCAGTTACATATTTTGACTATTTCTTGTATTTTACCTTTTAAGTATAATTCATGTACATAATTAAATGCAGTTGTAGTCATTTTATTTTATTGCTCAGCCTACTTTAAACACTAAACCATCAGTCACATCACTCTTACTAAGCATGCTTACTGCATGGCTTGTTTGTGATTGTCACACCCTGTGAACTAATACAATAGCCCCAGCCCTCTCCCTACTCAAGCCTTTTGTCTATATGGCCAGCTTGGGTACTCAGCCATGCTGTATGCTGGACACCTGAGGACTGTGGTCACTCCACATATACCTCTCCACGGATAAAGATAAATATATATATATATATTCACGTGTTTTTTCACAAGGATCGTTATTGGGGAACCTTAGATCAAATTTCAAGGTTAGTATTGTATTATTGAATTGAGGATTTTATTCATTGAATTGTATTTGCAATATTGTAGATATTGTTTGTATTTGGATATGTGTGTGTTTAGACACGAATACACGGAATGTAGATTCGTAATTTTATTGAGTTTAACAACCAAATAAGATTCTACATTCATTCAAACATGTATAAGCATTAAACTAAAAAAGTAAGATTAGTAGTTTTAGAAATGATAGAGGTTACTTGTGATATAAGAGGTAAGGCTTAGCAAGCATGCATGGTATGAATGAATGTAGGTAGGCATATATGAATGAATGAAAGTAAGCATAAATGAATGAATGAAAGTAAGCATAAATGAATGAATGAAAGTAAGCATATATGAATGAATGAAAGTAAGCATAAATGAATGAATGAAGGTAAACATAAATGAATGAATGAAGGTAAACATAAATGAATGAATGCATGAGGCTTTTTATAATATGACTCTTTCATGTTCAGCTACATGTATATATGATAGAAAGTATTTGTTCTTATTGGCACGTCTGCAGGTATTGTATATATTATTATTTCCTCTGCAGACGAGTTTTGCACTACTGTGCAGGAACTTAGCGCAGCATCGTCCCCAGGTGTGATATCAACCCAGGCCCACACACCTGGTAGATGTTGTCGTTTACATGTTGTCGTTTACATGTCGTTTACATGTCGTTTACATGTTGTCGTTTACATGTCATTATCTAGTGTATGTATTTGATCATATATCAAGACAGAATACGTTTCTAATTAACATGTACATAAATATATTTTACCAAGTGCATTTACAACAATACTATGTACTGTATCTCACCATACTAGTATGCATATGAATTGTATGTATATATCTGTGTTTATGATATGTGTATTGTTTTATATGTGCTATATTGTATACCTGATTGTTTCAGGGTGGTTTTTCTTTAAAATCACATTCGCATTTCTGCAAATAAATATTGGCCATTGACGAACACCGTAGTGTCTGTGGTCTGTGGGCATCGGACCCAGTCCTGCTACATTACGACCGGCATAAGTTGCTGGGTACCAATCCTAAGCAGCAATCAACATGGGACTCCACCACAGAATGTCAGTTGAAAGTGAACGGCCGGATGACGAATGGACGACGGACGGACAGACGATAGAAATCGCTTCTTGTAATATGCTTACTTTGGCTTTTCGTACTTTTAATTGTAGTGTATAAATAAAACACACATATTTCAAGACGATTTATGAATTACGGATTTTTTTTTTTTTTAAATATATTTTACAGGTATTGGGCACGGGTGACCCAGGCGCCGCAATACGCTTTGCAGAGCTGCGTCCTTTGGGCACGCCAGAAACCTATGATTGTGGGTTCGAATCCCGTCCTGCCCTAATTATGTTTCTAGGTTTATCAGCACCATTCCTGTTGTTTCACCAAAGTAGTAAACGTCTAAGACCTGCAAGACTTCGGGCTTCAAGCTGACATGCCATTATATAACTGGAATACAGTTCAAAGCGGCGTTAAATTCAACTCATTCACTCATACTTACAGTTATCACCGTTGGCCCACATCCTTCCCATGAATTGCGTGATTCAAAACTCGATGCAGCAACATTTCAGTCACAAGCTCCATGCGCCAATTTAACATCCGTTTCTGCAAGTCGGAGTATCTGCATGATTTATCGCTCGAGGTGTCGTCCTTTCAACACACACAAGTCTTTTTGTTGCGCCGTTTTTGAATCCTGTAATTGGGAGAAGCACCATTTCCTAACTAAACCATTTCGTGAATTGTCTTGCATGGCAGACAAAACACAGTGAAAACATAAATCTGAACTGCCAACGGCGGTGACACGGAGCCTTTTTCGTCACAGTTCCTGATGTATTTGTTATAGCTGGATGAGCGGTTCCAACGTGAGGATTCGACAAATACCAATGTGAAGTCATCTGGAGCTAGCTCTTTGTCCACAATAAATTTGTAAATATCCTACATTAATTGACCGAACGCTTCTCTAATCATTTCATATAAAAGCGACCAAACCCTTTCCATAGTCATAAGAACTCTCTGCTTAAAGCAGATTCCATTGTAAGATGCCGAAGCATGTGTTTACGAAGACTCTCAAATAGTGATGATACCAGGTGATGGGATGCGATGACATATACAGTATATAATCCACCGAGTCTGGCCATCTGATCCATTTAGTCGCCTCTTACGACAAGCATAGGTTGCTGGTACCTACATTCCTCCCCGTGGGCCCCCGCGATGTACTTACTATCAGGTATGACTGTGTCAGTGTGCAAGTCCTTTTTTACATCGTGTTTGTGTTTTCACATGACCTGAATCGCAAAGGAAACACTTACTCCGCAATTTGAAATTCATTGTAACTGTGTCTATTCAACGTGTTATTTGTGCTGAAGATATTAACATAATGGTTGGCACACGTCTCCCGAACGCACCACAGGCATAAGATAAATGTCGGTATTCATCAAATGAAACGCATGATTTCACGAGGTTTGTGATATAGCTTCTAGTAAAACAGCCATGCCAAGGCTATAGAGAAACCAACGCGACCAGACCGTCGCACGTCTCCGAGATGGCTTGATTGTAAAGATGGTTGTTAATGCCATCAAAGTCAATGGAATGACAATTTTCGTCTGGAGGAACGATAGGTTGTCATATACAGCACTTATGCGCCATGTAGAAAAGTGACAAGACTTCGACAAGATTGAAGGCTGCGCCAGTAACAGAAAAGCAGGTTCCAAACTGCAGCTGAGACTGCCCGACCGGCCACTGGCAGCCAACACAGATCCATCAGGATGATACAGTCAGGCCATGTCTGGCATCCATTATCTGATGTTTTGCTCTTGGAGATATTGGGTCCCAACCTGGCAGCGATGAGCACGTGCGTTATAATTTAAAAAGATGAAACGTTGCCCAACACGATGTGCAAATGGCACCACGCACGAGTGGCGCAATGATGTTGTCCCGAGAGTAATGACTCTGCCATGGACAATATGGAGCGCTGTTCGGCGTGTCATTGTGATACCACCCCATACCATTATGGGTCTACCCCGAAAACAATCATGTTGTACGACGTCCATAAAACGGTCATTAGGACGTATCGAAACTCGATTCCTTCGGTCACGGAAATCGAGAGTGAACCTTGATTCATCAGAAAACATGACATTAGCCTAACGTCGATTATCCCAGTGTTGCCGTTCCCAACGCCACTGACGCCTTTGATTCACATGGCGTGAAGTAAGTCGTGGGATAAAACGTGGACGTAATGCACGCAAATGTCATCTCTCGAAACTCCTAATTTGCATCGTCTGGGCATGTACTCTTACACCAGTTGCCCGTTGCAAACCGTCCTTTCTGTCTGTGACAATTTGCAACCGATTTCTTAACGCCTTTGTTCTGACTTATATGTCCTGGGCTGCAGTTGTTGCCCTTTGGCGTCTGACCCGTGAAGAACCGGAATAGAATAGGTCTTCAGCAACCCATGCTTGCCGTAAAAGGCGACTATGCTTGTCGTAAGAGGCGAATAAAGGGATCGGGTGATCTGGCTCGCTGACCTGCTTGATGCATGTCATCGATCCCAATTGCGTGGATCGATGCTCATGATATCAATCACTGGATTGTCTGGTCCAGACTCGATTATTGACAGACCGCCGTCATATAGCTGGAATATTGCTGAGTGCGGCGTTAAACAAACAAACTCTGTTATTGGATCTGTTGGTTTTTATGTCAGTGATGAATTTGTCATTGTCAATATCCTCCACAAACAGGTCCTTAAAAAAACCGTGGCAGAGAAACTAATATCTTTTAAACTTCTTTTACAAGTTTTTTTTTATGGAAGTGTTTGATCACGGCTTTGATTTTAATCACCACCGCGTTTTCTCTGGATTTAACATAACCAAAAACAATCGCAATTGCTAAATGCATATATAAGACTCTGTATGAGTGGGGAATCCATATTAAAACAAGGACTGTATCTGAGTGCTGTATCCATGTAAAAACAGGAACTTGTGTCTGAGTTGGATATCCATATTAAAACATGGACTGTATCTGAGTGGAATATCCGTGTTAAACAAGGACTGTGTCTGAGTGGGGTATCCGTGTTAAACAAGGACTGTCTGAGTGGGGTATCCATATTAAAACATGGACTGTAACTGAGTGGGGTATCCGTGTTAAAACAAGGACTGTATCTGAGTGGGGTATCCGTGTTAAAACAAAGACTGTATCTGAGTGGGGTATCACTGTTCAAACAAGGACTGTATCTGAGTGGGGTATCTGTGTTAAAACAAGGACTGTATCTGACTGATTTATCCGTGTTAAAACAAGGACTATATCTGAGTGGGATATCCGTGTTAAAACAAAGACTGTATCTGAGTGGGGTATCCGTGTTAAAACAAGGACTGTGTCTGAGTAGGGTATCCATATTAAAACAAGGACTGTATCTGAGTGGGGTATCCGTGTTAAAACAAAGACTGTATCTGAGTTGGCTATCCGTGTTAAAACAAGGACTGTGTCTGAGTAGGGTATCCATATTAAAACATGGACTGTATCTGAGTGGGGTATCCGTGTTCAAACAAGGACTGTATCTGAGTGGGGTATCCGTGTTAAAACAAGGACTGTGTCTGAGTGGGGTAACCGTGTTAAAACAAGGACTGTGTCTGAGTGGGGTATCCATATTAAAACATGGACTGTGTCTGAGTAGGGTATCCATATTAAAACATGGACTGTATCTGAGTGGGGTATCCGTGTTAAAACAAGGACTGTATCTGAGTGGGGTATCCGTGTTAAAACAAGGACTGTGTCTGAGTGGGGTATCCGTGTTAAAACAAGGATTGTATCTGAGTGGGGTATCCGTGTTAAAACAAGGACTGTGTCTGAGTGGGGTATCTGTGTTAAAACAAGGACTGTTTCTGAGTGGGGTATCCAAATTAAAACAAGGACTGTGTCTAAGTGGGGTATCCGTGTTAAAACAAGGAATGTATCTGAGTAGGGTATCCGTGTTAAAACAAGGACTGTGTCTGAGTGGGGTATTCATTTTAAAACATTTACTGTGTCTGACTGGGGTATCCGTGTTTAAACAAGGACTGTGTCTGACTGGGGTATCCATCTTAAAACATGGACTGTGTCTGAGTGGGGTATCCATATTAAAACAAGGACTGTGTCTGACTGGGGTATCCATATTGAAACATGGACTGTATCTGAGTAGGGTATCCATGTTAAAACAAGGACTGTGTCTGAGTTGGGTATCCGTGTTAAACTGCGGCATGGTATCTTTGGCATTATAACACAAGCATTAGTTCGGACTAGTACAATCAGCCACGCAAGCACGCACGCAACTCTATATATGTGCAATAATCTTTATAATCACATCTCACCGCATTCAAGATAAGATTGAGTTGTGGATTTTAACTTGTTTCTTCTTTTTCCGCAGCGTTTCAGTACAAAATCGACACCTTTACCACGTGACAAAGGTACAGGCAGATGTAGCAAAAACGTTGCATAGGAAAAACATAAAAGCTAAAATCCATAAATCAACTCTGTCTTCATTGATATTCAAGCTTCTGAACGGTCACTTAAGAATATTGGAGACCGCATCAACAAAGTGGTATTTTTGTTGACGCTGACATTTTACGGTTCTGAATATATGCAGGTGAGCTACGAAGACGTACTTCCTCTAGTTCCATTATTGTTAAGGTATATCTAAGGAAATTAAATATTTATAAAAATGTTTATTACAGACCAATCTTCCTCGCAAGCAATTTCCCACAGTTTGCATGCTTCCTTTAAAGATCGATTTGATCATCGACTTTTTTATGTCAGAGGCTTTGGTAGGGCAGGTAATCGAAAAGCTAATCTTTTAACATGTTGTGTTTTTACAATTGCAAAAGAGTTTGTATTTATTTGATGGATGTGAACTCATGTCTTTCTAGAATATTGTGTAACAGCAATTTTGCTAATTAGTATATAGATAACGGTTGTTATCAACGTAATTCTCTTCAAACAAAAGCCACACAAGGGTGCATGAAACGAATGTCGACAAACTTGGCTTTTGTGCCTCAACTCTGCTTTGATGATTTTTTATGATATATTTATATTTCATGTGAACTGTATACTGCCAAGCTATAAGCCTTATACATGAACTGTCAAACAAAAACGTTAAGCCGTACGCATTACTGTCGACTCAAACTATAAGCCTTATTTAGCAATATAGTTTTGGTTGTTGATGTTTCCAAACATGTATGTCAAACAAACTATATGAACTGATGGGGATGGTAAAATA